CGGTGATGCGCTGGGTCGGATTTCGTCCCTGCTCACGCACGTCGAGTTGTGATGCAGCGCCGGCTGCACGCTTCCCGTACGGTTAGGAATCTAAAGCTCGATCGCTTATCTCCCACGTGCGCCCATCTGTAGCGGTAGCCGCAAAGGCAGCTCCGGCGGGTTGTTGCCGCTGAGGAAGGGCCATGGCCCCTCCCCACGCGCAGCGTGGTTCGACGGCCTCGCTGGCTGGCGGTGGCGGGCGATAGGAATGCGCGGCGAGAATGTCGCCTTGGATGCGCTTTGCTTCGACGGCCAATTCCTCCAAATCACGGAAGCGACTGCCGCGCAGGTATGCCGAAAAGATCGGGTGTGCCTGCCTGATCACCCGTTCGACGCGCTCCTCGTTCGAGGCTCTGGGCTCAGCGATAGCAAAAAGGTCTTCCATCGCGCGTACGTACTCCTGAAGCGACTCATCAGGAGCTTGTGTGCGGAGCTCGAGCTCGCGCCGCATCCTACTCTCGTAGTCAGCGGGTAAGAATTCGCGCAGGAAGGCCGCGCGGAACTCATCGAGGGTTGCTGCTCGGTGGCCGGAAAGCCGATGCCACCTGGCCGCCGTGTCAGTCAGTGCAGCCGGGACGACGCGTCCGAGCACTTCCTGGTCGTCTAGACCCATGGCTCTCTGATAACGTGTGAGGGAGTCCAGGTAATCTCTTGCACTTTGCAGATCACCATACCCGCTGTAGGTCGGAACGGCCAACATGACAGTGGGATGAGGGCGTTTCGGAACGGCCGGAAGCGTTTGGACTGCCCCCGTGAGTGCCTGAATCATTTGGGCGGCATTTTGCAGCAGCGTTTGTGCGCCCGCTTCAAAGGAAGCTGTCGGTGCATTAGCGGCGCGGGCGAGCGATGGGGAACTGTCTCCGAGCTCGATAAGCGGCGCGGTTTCAAAATGGATACCGGCCGTCGCGACTTTGGGGAGCGCCTGTTTTTTACAGCTCACTCTTGGGGCAGCTTCACGTGAAAATGCTAGGCCGCTTGCGGCTAGCGGTGCAGGCGCGTGCTCGAAATGAGCTTGGCTGCTAGGTTGCGTAGCAGCCAGCAGGCAAAATTCGGCAACAGGCTGAGGCCGCGGTGCCGATCTGCGCCCCGGAAGCTCTACTGAGAGCCGTTTCGGAGCACTGTGACATGGAAGTGCCATGCATTCCAAAGGGAGCAGTAGTAGCCCAATGTGCCCTTGTGCACTGTTCGGGTTGGGCTATGGCCCCGGACCCAAAACACTCTACCTCTCCAGTTGGAGCTGATACGTAGCGCCTCGTGTCATCCCGACCGGGGCTTGTGATGCTCAAGGGGGGCACTGGCCCTGTTCTCGAGCAAAGCGGTGTCTGCTTAAAGCGTCAGCGGACAGAACTCACGCGGAGCAGACATAACGCGGGTAAACGCGGCGAGCCTGATTCGCAAAGGCGGGCTGACTCGGCTAAGACTAATCAAAGGCTTAATGAGCCTTTGATACCGCGTTGGGCGCCAGTATGGTGAACCCGCTACTAACTGCAGCGGACGATCACCGGGGGTTCACGCTTAGGGAGCCGCAGGGCCGCTACTCCGTTTACTCGCGTGTAGAGCACCGCCCCGCGCGCGCTCAACTAATAAAGCGTTTAGCGCGGCGCGGCAAACAGACAGTGTTCTAATGCAAAAATACAGAACACTTATTGCCTCTGGCGGCACCCCGAACAACAGTACAACGTCCGCTCCCGGGACGCGGGTAGCAAAGGCACCCGCACGCGAACGCTCACAATAAGGGGAAAACCGCGAGCACGTCGCAGCTGGCAATGGCGAGCTTTGACACGCCGGTCAGGAAAAGGTCCCTCGCAGCTATGTTGCGCACTCTCACGATGGCCACTGGGCCTGGTCGTGAGTGTTAGGGCAAACCTCGTACGCGTAGGCCTACGGCAAGTGCGGCTCGTTGTGATACGACCACTTCAAGCACTAGGCACCGCTGTGGGCTTAGCGACGCTACCGAAGCTAGCACTCTAGTAAACACGCCTGTCGAGGTGCCCAAGGCCACCCCAGGCAGGCTACAGTCCGGCGATTCCCGAAGGGGACGCGTACGAAGGAAAACACGTGCTTACCCGGCGCCGACCACGGAGGAGAGAGCGCTCCCTCGGCGCGCGCGTACTGCGTGCCGTGCCCGCACGTGGCGCCATCTATCGCCACGCGTCGTTATCAGCAGGAAAAGCAAAAGGTTGTGGCCGTGCGGCGGAATGCCCGCAAAATGGTCGCAGGCGCGCCTCAGATCCCCACACACTTCAAAATAAGGAATAGGAATTTTTAAATGTTAATGCTCAGCTCCATACCTGCAACTATCATCATCATCAGACCGGCAGGGTATTTCTCTGTGTGCCCTACCCTTTTTAACAACTCTGAGTGAGCGCTCGCCACATGTTGGCAGCGCCTGGAAACAGCGCTAACTGCGCCAACTTTCAGAGGAGGTATTGTCACGGGGTCATGACGCTGACGAGGGCAAAGGTGACGTGTTGAAAATGAAACTGTTTATTAGGCCGAACTTGTGGCTGGTAACGAAAAGTCAGATTATAGTGATACACACTGGCACTGATAGCCAGTAGGCACTGATAGCCAACAGAGCGTAGGCTGTTGATCAAGTGACAAGCGGCGAATCGGGTCGGCATTTATAAACGTGCCATGGAATATTTTAGCATTATCATTTGCGGTCACATAGGTTTCAGAATAATCTTGAATGTTCATGAATTGAGCGTAATCTTAGCAAAGTGATCTACTACAGTCTCGAAGCTTCTTAAATACTGCAGGCTTGTTTTGCATGGGGTGATAACAAAACATGAGAAAGAAATGCGGCACTGCCCCCATTTTAAAAAGGCAACGTCTCGATGCTTTAACAGATGGTGAAAGTACAAGACTAAAGTTAAGGAATAAAGGATAAATACAAGCAATAACCCAGCAACATCACAAATACAGTCATGTTTGCGCATGAAATGGCTTGAGGTGCACGACATGGACGACTTCAGGTTGGGAATGATGCTGTTGGGAGTTTGTAATGTCGCCGGTAACAACCTCGTAGTCGAGTGGGCTGAGACGTTGAACTAACCTGTATGGTCTGAATTACTGTCGCAGAAGTTTTTCGCTGAGTCCATGTCGCTGAGTACAAGCTTCGCAGAAGATAGTAATGGTGGCTGCCGTTTGTCTGCTGATTCTTTATGCACAGGCAGGCGAGTTGATGAGCTTCTTCAACTGCGCTGCAGGTATACGGCGACTTCAAGGTTTTTCTCGTCAGCGATATTTGGGAGCATAGTGTCAAGCATCGTGCTGGGCTCTTTCCTTAGATCAACTTGTATGGAGACGACGCAGATGTCTCCATACACTGCAGTGTTTTATGCGAAGATCACGCATGGAAGGATCGCAGTCCTATGTTTTGTGTTCAATATTGAGATACATTACCAGCATGTCAGTGATCCTCTTATATAGCCACACGGTTAGGCAATTGGTCTGTGGGTGGTATGCCATTGTCCGGCGGTGGCTTGTCTGGCTAAATGCCAAGATCGCCTGAGCTAGGTCAGCAGTAAATGCCGTACCTCAGTCGATGATGGGGACCTCTCAGGCACAATGACCCAAGACTATGTTCTTGACAAATAACTTTGCTACCTCAGCAGCACTGCCCTTGAGCAACGCTTGAGTCTCAGCATAACTGGTGAAGCAGTCACTAGCTACGACAATGCTTTTGTTCCCCGAAGTCGATGTCGGAGAACAGCCCAAGTAGGTCCATGCCGATTTGATGGAAACGGCCGTCAAGGTGGCTCAATAGGCTGCAGAAGTCTAGCTGGCCTATTTGGCGATGTCTTCCATCACTGACTGTCTCAGCAGGTTCTTAAATAGTGGGTGACATTGTCATTGAGGTGGGGCCATTAGTGCTTTTCCTGTATCCTTTGCTAACGTACAAGAAAATCTAAGTTGTCCAGCCATCAGATCATCATACACAGCATTCAAAACTTCTGAACATAACACCAAAGGTACTACAGTCGAACCCGTTTGTAACTAGCTCGAAAGTGTTGCGATAAATGGTTGTTATATCTGTAGGTTGTTGTATATATAGCCGCCCACAAACGGCTACATAGTGGTCAATTCAGTTTTTTTTTCTGTGTAGTTTTATTAAAAAGTGAAACAACCTTGCCCTTTAAAGGTTAGGCCTTTTTGGGTGTTAAATGACGCCCGTTTGCAATGAACTCACGCTGTTGCACTGAATTGCGGTACCGCCACGCCGAACCACTCATCTCTGGCTAGTTGTGTGTATCATGTAGCTTATTCTAGCTACTCTCCCCATCGCCTGCCAGTTCACTTGCAGTCCAATGTATGCGCATGTTGGTGCGTTATTCGTGCATGATTCACTCGGAATCCTGCTAGGGTAGCCTGTTCGTTTTTTGTGTGCAAGCGGCCTCATACGACACGGCGGTAGCAAACTTGTGAACAGCATCATGGCCAGCTTTTACCACCGTCACTCCGCGGAACAGTTATCTGCAGATGACTGTGATAAGATTGTCGGCATTGAGTCAAAATGACACAATCATCCCCACCGGCCACCTCGCTATCGCTCTTCTTTATGCTTATCTGTTGATGCAGTGTTGCGATTGTGCAGAAATCGTTATTACTAATCGACTAGCTTTCTGCCGTTAATCAAAAGTGAAAAACATTTAACGGCTCATGGTGGTGCCGGAGAGTTGAGCGTCACAGTGACCTTTCATGCGACAAAAGTTATTGCTTCTCATATTTATGGCTTCTTGTGTTCTAAGGAATTCAGTTCAGTTCTGATAGTGCCATTCTAACCGAAATGAGGAATACCTCATTTCGGTTAGAATGGCACTATCAGAACTGAAGCGCGAGTGTCCTTGCCATGCTGGTTTTCAAAATGTCTTTATAAGTCTCTACCTTTGTTATGACTTACCAATCAAGTATGTTGACCTTTTATCTTCTATGTTTTTTCTTTATTTCATACCCAGACCATCAGGAGGTGCTGTAGAATCATCACAAAAAATGTCCAAAAGGAGTGTGTGCTACAAGTACAGAAGTAACATGCCTGGGCATTGCACCACGAGCAAAGAATCTGCAACAAAGCATCGGACTGTTCACACGAAGAAGAATGGCTATGTCTGTGCAGTCTGCGGACAGCACTTTACTCATAAAATGGGCCTTATCCAACATCGGCGTCTCCACGCAGGCGAGAAGCCTTTCGCTTGCACCATCTGCGGCCGAAAATATGCCCGGAGAGTGCGTCTCGTGAACCACACAGCAATGCACATGAATGAGAAGCCCTTCGCTTGCACCGTCTGCGGCCAGAAGTTTACACAGAAAGCTCGTCTCACTAGGCATGAAGCAGTGCATATGGATGAGAAGCCGTACCCCTGCACAGTCTGTGGTCGCAGATATGCTTACAAGTGCAATCTCCAAACACACCAGGCCATTCACATGGAAATCAAACCCTATACTTGTCTCATCTGCAACAAGCAGTTTAATCAGCAGTCAAGTCTTACTAGACACATGGTTGTTCACACAGATAAGGAATTGCACTGCTGCTCGGAATGTGGTCGCAGGTTTGCTTACAAGAGTGATCTCCTTGCACACGAAATAATCCACAAGGAGAAGAAGCCTTATGCTTGCCTCATCTGCTGGCCGGCAGTTTGCACGGCGATTTTTTTTCAATATGCACAAGGCCGTCCACGCAAATGAAAAACCATATCTTTGCTCAGTCTGTGGCCGCAGGTTTGCTTACAAGAATAGTCTTGTACAACACATGTACATTCACAAAGAAGAGAAACCACACGCTTGCCTCATCTGCAGCCAAAAGTTCAAACGGAAGATAAGTCTCACCAGGCACATGGTTATTCACGTGGATAAAGAATCACAGTGCTGCTCAGTTTGTGGTCGCAATCTTCCTTGCAAGAGTAGTCTCCTTACGCAGCGATATTATTCACAAGGAGAAGAAGCCCTATGCCTGCCACATCTGTGGCCTGCAGTTTACTCGCCAAGTGCAATTTCAATTTGCACATGGCCGTCCACGCAGATAAAAAACCATACACTAGCTCAGTCTGTGGTTGCAGGATTGCTTACACGAGTAGCTTGGGGACTAGCAAGTTCATCTACGAAGAAGATAAACCATACACTTGCCTCGTTTGTGGCTCGAAGTATGTCCACAAATCAAATTTCATTCGGCACAAGAGTATGCACACAGCTGTTGTGGAATATGCATGTAAGGTGTGCCCATCCAAATTCTTAGCCAAGGCATCTCTGGACAGACACAAGCAGCTGCACGAAGCCGGAGTACTGTTGTTTCACTGCACCGAGTGTGGCCGGGCCTTTCGAGAAAAAACAGCACTGAAGATGCACTTTAAGTGGCATAAGGTGGACAAACCATACCCGTGCCACCTTTGTCCATCAAGATTCACAAAGAGATATAATCTGAGAGCTCATGTGCAAAGGCACACTGGTGAAAAGCCTTACAAGTGTCCCATTTGCCAGAGACGGCATTCTAGGCATTCATACCTCAAGGAGCATATGCGCCGGATGCACCCTGGAGGAAACAACACATTGGTGAGCCCTCAGACCAGCCAGCCTCTAGTAAGTGAAACATTCTGAAGCATTTAAGGTCTGCACACGCTCTACCCACACAGCCACACTGCACGTGGCGGGGCACCAGCTGCCCGCAAACGAAAGGCAAAAGAGCGTGCCGATTTACTGTTTTGCCTTCAGCTTGCGTGCTGCAGGTGTCCACCGCCTGCGGTGCGGCTGTGGGGGTAGCGCGTGTACTGGCTTTCACCTAGCTCTTTGAAGTTGTGCAATTAAAAAAAAATATCTTTGTGCAGTACATGAGCTTAAATTGAAATCATTTCCTTGTGGTTTGAGGGGTTATCATTCTGACCATTCTCGCCCTGCATGAGTTGCAGTCCCAGACCTGATGCTGTTGTTGGATGTTAAGAGGTACCGTATTTACTTGCATAATGAACCCACCCACACCTTGATCCTTGAAAAAAAGGGGAAAAAAACTTTTTTAACTGTATGTGTTCAATTTATTTCGGTATGATAGCCAGTGCTAATAATGATTGAAACAACAATAAATCAAGCCATTATATGACAAATAACAACAGAATAAAAGCAAGAGTTACCTAGTTATGCAATTATGCTAAACAGTTGCGAGCAGCGTGAGCATGGACGACGTCAATTAAAATTTGAAAGTCCCGCCTTGTACGGCAAAGCGCCATCTGTCGAATGCAAGAGAAACCTCATTGCTGATATTGCCACACAAACTCAGTAGTACAAAAACTAAGTGTGTGGCATCCAAAATGGCGCTCGCGCTGCGTCATGCAACACGTCGCAGAGCGCTACCGCATCAACCTATGCAAAGTGCAACCGCACCCACTGCGCCGACGGCGCGTTGTGCACCTGCATGCAACGTCTAATACAACGTTTGTGTGCCGCCATTCTAAGCTGCATTTTTGTTGTTGGGTTTGCTGTTGTGAACTTAGTTGGGACACCTGCTGCGCAGGGTGCGTTTGGCCGGTGGGCTTGCTACATGGCTGTTTAGTAACAGCATGCGCTGGAGCAATGGAACCGAGCGGCTGGATGACACTTTGGTGTCGATCCATGCACTTTCATTACGAGACGAAACGAAAAGAGCTTTGGGCTACAAAAAATTTGTCGTGCATTTCACGGGTCAAAGTAAGCAAAGTCGTCACCCGTAATTTTTGCTGTTATAACTTCTGTTACTTTTTTCTCTTCTGTAATGAACCCTCCCCCTAAATTGGCGTCAACTTTTCTGAAAAAAAAAAAAAAAAAGGTGGGTTCTTTACGTGAGTAAATACGGTATGTCCACTTGAGTGAGCACCAAGTACTGATAAGTTGTGACAGGTACTCACTATTGTGATTGTATTGTTTTGTCAAGTTCGAGGTTTCTTGCTGTTAATTTCACTGTTACGAAAAAAAAAAAAATGTTTGTGTACAGTGAAAAACACGGTGTAGTCAGGATAATTGGAGTTGTGTGCCTCATTATATCTTAGTACCCTACATTTTCTGATCTATTTTAAAGCAGCCTACTTTATACCGTTTTGTAGTGTTGATCCCAGGTGATTGATTCTCTATGCTTCTCAGTGCCTGAAAATATATCTGCTGCCTTTTGTCGCTTTGGCTCGACATCTTAATGTTATGTCATAAAACGTTCCCTATAAAGACCGTTGTTTGCCTTCATATTAGCCAGGCCTTGTGCACCCACAATCACTTGTTGACTAAGGAGAAAATGAACAAAAAACTTTAATTGGGTACTTTTATAAGGTAAAAACAGTGCATTGTAGACAAGACAAACGAAGAAAAACACACGACGAGCGCTTTATGTGTTTCTTTGTTTGCCTAGTATATTTTGCACAGTTTTTACCTGTTACCTGTGACTAACTAGCCCAACAAAAAACACATCTTGGTAATTTTAGCTGCGCTTAAAGGGGCCCTGCAACGCAAATTAAGTACATTATTTTCACGGCTCTTCTGGTACCAAGAAATGCGTGCATATCATTGTGCAAGTGACAAATTTTATTTCACCGAATAAACTGTAAAGGAACGAGATGATATGGTGGCAGATGAGGCCATTTCCGTGGTTGCAGCTCTTTTTTAGGACCCAGGCAAAGAGAAAAACCAAGCAATTGTGGCTCACGCATCCAGCAGGGCCAAGAACCAGAGCGTTCTGATGTCTACGAGGCTCTCTTTTTTGTTGTGTCTGCTGCGGTGCTGCTTAGGGCCCCTCCTAGTGCATTGTGTGATTGAAAAGAAAATGTTGATAAGAAAGAGAAGCTAAAAGAACAAAGACTATATACTATATATATATATATATATATAGACTATGTATGGCAGTCCATATATCGTCCACTGAGAGGTTCAGAGGGAGCCTGTGGTCAGCTGAATGGGCAAGTGGAAGGCACCGGGGGTCGAGGCTGAGAGTCTCATTGTGGACGAAGAGCTCAGGGTGCCCCAGAACAAGCTCAAGAATCATAAGGCAGAACGTGTTGACAGCGTAGAACCCAACAGTCAGGCACTCGCTTTCTATGTGAGGATGAGGAATGGGCTGCTGGGGATGCAACCTGCAACCTCCCAAGCAGGCGACGTCAACCACAGCGAGGAGGACAGGCTGCCATTTGTCATCACTGAATGGAAACATGCATGAATGGCCGGCGTGGACTTCGGAGTACCATGCTTCTTTATGGGCAGGTTGTTGAATCAAGTGACTTGGGCTTCCTCATCATGCTGATCCAGTGTAGTCTAGTAGGTGCTCGAGAGGTGCCGTGAGGTTGAGTCACGTACTGTGGGGTTGGAATCCTGCTTAGTGGTGTTGTGGGCTTCTACAGGTGTTGATACAGGCATGCACTCTGCAGGTGAATGAGCTGGCTTTGCTGGTGTCGTCGAATTGCCTAGGGCAGAGTGTGCTGCCGAGAAGGTTTCTGCAACGAATTCGAGGTGCACGGGGTAGCACCCAGCGTCGAATCCATAATTGAGAGAGGTGGCAAAACTGGCACGCTGGATGCAAGAACTGTGGACTGCGGGGCTGCAGGCCTCTCCGAATTGTGGGTCAATTGGCGCAGAAGGGTGGTCTCCATCACCTGTGTGGCCAGTTGTTGCTGGCGGGGAAGTGGGGTGGACTGGCTGTGATGGGGGACGCGTCTCGAAAGGTGATGAGGCAGATGCCGCGGTGTAACTGCTGGGACAAGGATGGTGTCTGTTGCCATAAAAATGGAGCATGGCACCTTGCAGATCGTCGTAAGAGCGAGGGCTCCACGAGAAGTAGGTGAGGTGGCGTTTGAAGTCAGGTGGGAGTACGTACTCGAGGACCTCAAACATAAATTCATGGAGCCAGATGTTGTTGAACAAGCCACCTTTCGATGCAGAAAGCATGGAAAGGTGGCAGTAGTGCGGCGAATCGTGGCCTCCAACTGTTGGCTGGCTGGTACATGGCCATGGCACTCGGTAGCAGAGGTGCAGTGCTGCTCACTGATTCTTGCGTCTGAGTTCATCATTTGTAGAAGAATGAAATTAGACGGTGGCAGATGAGGCTATGTCATGGTTGCAGCTCTTTATTGGGACGCGGGGGAAAAGAAAAACCAAGCGGTAGAAGCTGACGCATCCAGAGGGGCCAAAAGTCAGAGCGATCTGATCTCCACGTGGCTCGCACATCACAAGCCACGGGGCTCTCTTCTTTTGTCGCGTTTGCGGCGGGGCTATAAAACTACAATAATTTTGTGCTACAGTGGAGCGAATTGGCTAATCTTGTTATGGGAAGTGAATTTTTGACATGTGGCTGTAACGACAAAGGTCGTGTGTTTCTTATTGGTTTGATGTGACAAGTAGCATGCAACAGCCAAAAACCTATGAGACCACCAAAACCCCTTTTGTACCTTCTCAGAAACATGTGATTTCTGTTTCTGAATGTCGTATCAACAAAAGAGAAATGGACACTACACTTGGTGCGCTGTGCAAATGGTGGAAATCGAGGAGAATAAGAAAAAATGCTCGAGTGGAACGCCTTGCAATGAAATATTGGCAAAGATGAAGCCGTAGTTGTAGCATGGTTTGTCCTGGAATCGTGCTCTTTAATGATGATGCCTTTTTAGAGGAAAAGTGGTTTTGCTTTCTTAGAGGGACACTAAAGGCAACATTAAGTCGACGTTGATTGTTGAAGTAGCGGTCCAGAAATCTCGCAGTGTTACTTCTGTTCCAAGGAAGAGCCTGTTTTGAAATAAAATCACGTTTTAGGCGTCCTGCATTGCGTTAGCGCACTTCAAATTTCTCCGCCTCAAAAAGCGGAGTGACCGGACCGACTCACATCACTGTTGTCCTGCACATCGTTGCCCAGCTTTACTGCACTAGTAGCAGCAGACGGAAAGCAGCGGGAGCAACAGCAGCGCCAACGGCCATTGATCAATTTCCCTTCATTGACTTCGAGATTGCAGAATTTTTTGTTTCAACTGCGCCTCGCTAGATGGCACCATCTGTTCTGTGTAACCACACGAAAATTGAATTTTTGTGCCACTAGTGCCTTCCCCATAATAACTTCCGGCGGTTCTTTTTTCCATAAATCAAACAGAAACGAACAAGCAGCATTTTATTGCATCTCTTGATGCATGGAAGGCTCTTTATTTAGTGCAGTTAGATCGATTACTAGTGATTATTGTAGGCGGTCCGTCTGATGTCATCGGGATCATTTTGAAAATGTCCTACTCTGGTGCTTGTGTTCTTGTGCATTTACCTTAATTTCTCGGGAATTATGGCACCATTGTTGATAATATTGTCGTTTTGGATGTTGCCATACATTGAGCTTTCACTCTGATGTAAATTGTTATTTCACTTTAGTGTGCCTTTTATGTATAGGTTAGTCTAGTTACAATCGCTATTTCCATCTAAAGTAATAATCTCTGTGAAAGAGAAGTGGTGGGTTGACCTACAATAAAATTTTCGTAAATGTTGAGGCTTCTTGAATGGCCAGTAAACATGCTGTGACATTTTTTTGCACCTCCTGAATGAGCTTGCTATTTTTTGCAGAAAGCCGCGGCGACCACATTTTGCAAATATCGCAGTGCTGTGGAATGGTCCATTTCGAAAAATGATTCTCATGCAACTCTCTAGTGCCTGTCCGATCTTCCTTGTGGGCCAAGTGCCTGTAATCTTGTTCTCGTTCACCTTCTATTGTTGCTTCTGCTCACTGTCAGGGTTGGCAAGAATTCCTCCTGGGTTCATTGTTCCAACTGCAGCTACATCCCTTGTACATTGAAGGGGCGTCCTGGCCCTGCAGTAACGCCGCTGTGGTAGCTCAGTGGTTAGAGCATCGAACGCGTTGGCCCTGCAGTAATACAATTTTTCCACCCAGGCGTCATTTTTAATAGAGTTGATATTGTCACACGTCAATGTGTATGAGCCATTCGTTGTGGCGTGGACACGCGTAGAAGTGGAAGAAGAAGAGAATGTTGCTTTCTGGTCTGGTTCTGGAAAAGACGTCAACTCCTGGCTGGTTGTTTTGTTTCGCTTGTGGCAATATATAAACTTTAGAAAAAAAGCTCCTCATAGGGTCCATGCATTAAAACCTATAGCTGCTTGGTTGCCACCATAATAGAACGACACTAGCTTTGGAGTGACGTGCACTTACCACTGCATGGTGCAATACCCCCTGGCTTTTTTTCCTGTTTTATAGGTATCTGTTGCATCGCAGTAAGAGACTGTCACATTAAGTGTAGTTGTCAGCTCGTGGCAACAAAAAACACAGACGATGAATATACGGCTCAGCCAGGGCCCAAGCAAGCCGGTGCAATTGGTCGATTGTCACACGATCACGCTATGAAATGTTGACACGATACATGGATGGTGACGCCGTATAGTAAGCAAGCCTGTAAATGCTCCTTTTCGCAAGCAGTAAATTTCATAAATAGCCATTTTATTAGATGCAAAGCAGCTTTTTGGCTAGCCTGTGTAACGGTGTTCCTCCGTGCATCCCTACCAACTTGCCGCAATGTGCTCTCCTCGCCTGCCGTGCGCTCGCTGCAGTGCCCGCAGCTCCCACCTCATCCATTCGCCTGCAACACCTGCCGCTACTGAGCGTCTAAAGTGTGCTCTGAAAGATGTCTTTTTATGTCACCTCTCTCTCGTTTCACCCTCTTTATTGCTCGAGCGCACATCAACTGGTAACACTTTTTCGGCTCATTTATCTGTGATGGAGAGGACGCTGGAAGACGACGCTCCTTTGCCCTTTGAAACATCCAACAGAGAGATTAAGCCTAACCCGGTCATCGCTGGCACTGCAAGAGTTGCCATTCTTGCGACGTTGCGCCTGCAGCACCGACGAGGCTCGAGCCAAGGAAGCCGAACACAAGCGTCGGCAACGCGGATGCTTCACATTCCATCAGGGTACTCTTTGGAAAGATGGTGTGATTTTTCTTTCCTAAATGTAGTTGATATAAACTTGATACAATTTCCGTCCGTTTATATTATGAAAACACTTGTGTGTGATTTTTACTGCGAGAATTTCAGTGTTTTGAACTGTTATATTTCGTGCTTCTTTAAAGTATTGTTTTAATGGCAACAATCACAACATTTTAAGGTGTCAGCGCTTTGCTGGTTATAGCTTTCCGAGCCCAGCTTTGCATCGAGCGGTGAAGTCCGGTCTGCCAACCAACGCATTCCTCCTCTCTAGCATGCGGGTGATGGCTTGGAGTGTATGTGTTGATGCTGGCATGCGTGGCGTTATTTAGCGATTTGCCGTGTATTAAGCCAACCTGCGGATTTTGTTTTTCTTCATTGCTATGACAGCCAAAAATTGGTCATCAGGGAACCACTGCCCTGTTTTTTGGTGCAGTAACTACAGAAAAAAGAAACTGCTGTTGGAAGAAATGTGCTATGTGCGTCACCAGACACGGAGTTTTTGTGGCTGTGGACTCTTCAAGCTGCATCGTTTTCCTGTGAACGAGGAGCAGCGACTTCTATGGCTTGCAAACTTTAACAGGAAAAACTTTGCACCATCCGCGGGTACTCGGGTATGTTCAGAGCATTTCTGAGGCAAACGAACCGCAACAACTTCGACACCGATGCTCAACCTCGGCTATAAATCGAAGGTACGCAGCATATGCAGCTATCCCAACGATGACAATATTTCCCCAATAAACATCCCCACATAACATTTCTTTCTATCATCGGTCAAAGTACCACGGCATCGACTTACTTAAATATCGTGATGTAAAAAAAGAAGATGAAAAGAGGATGCGCAGGCACGTAAGCGTAGTTGGATGTAACAGCTCTATGCAAGTACACGCCTGTAAAAAAGAAACAAGTGAGTAAGAAACGGTCACTTCTTCAGAGTTGAGAAACAACTTAGACAAAAGTTAGTGTGCAGTTAACAAACACCGTCAGTGCCAAGAAATAAGGACGAGCCACTACACTCCAACGCACAGCAAAGAGCGGTAGCCGATGCGACAGCGTGGCGTAAAGAAATCTTGTTAGAAAAGCGGATAACTACAGCTCAAAAAAGATATTCACTATGCTCTCGAAATGCTGTTGCTCATTCTGAAAAACAAAAAAAAGAAGACATTAAAATATTGTGCATTTTTCGAGCACAAAGTCGGTGCATCAACAGAGATGGATGCGTTCGTGGTATTCGATAATAAAATAATTGACCCTCAATGACTTGAACCTTGTCAGAATGTCTCATAGACTCATTATCCAAAGAGCCTGCATCACTTCAGTCGAAATTCACCGCATAAAACTTACAAAGAACGATAAAACCGCAGCCGCATGCTTACCTTCTATGCAAACAGCGAGCTTCCCACTTGCCAGTTGGGTTGCCAGACCAGAAGAGGGCCGCACTCTAGCAAGATGGCGGTGCCCACGAAAAGAACGTCTATATCACCTCTATGGCATTTTCATTTTTTTGTGATGCCCTCTGCTGGTTGGTAGTGCCCCGAAACTACCGGCACAGGCAGTATTACCACAACGAAAGCGTCCGAGACGAAGAAGCATCTCATAACCTTACCGCTAGGAGAAGGCCGCATACATCCAACTTCCTCCTGGCTCTGCTGTGACATGTTCGGAAAGCCTTGCTCATTAGTTGTCAGCGTGCCTATAATATAATTGCCACAATGTCGTGTTGCATTGCCTAAGTGGGCATAGTCACGACAAAAGCTACACCTCCCATTTCCACTGTGAAAAAAGGGTGGGAAGCATGAACGAGAAACCGATAACAGCCAAAGCGGGTGACAGCTTGGTACAGCTGATGGCTTCTCTGTCATTTGTGTACGGTCCAGTGTCCTTCAAGGAACTGAAACAGCTGAAAGCACTCTGCAATTGAGATCACAACAACAGCCCTTCTTGTCACTGTAGTTGTCCACTGCCACCAGTGTCTACTCTACCCACTATCGCGCGAAATCAGAAGAAAAAGAAACGAGAAAGATACTTCTCAACAAAAATTTTTTCAGGACGCTTGAGCTTCGCTTATGAAAGTAGATCATGATATAGTAATCAAGCCTCGTTTGCATTGCCTTCTGAATTGCTTGCCTGCTTCGGTTTTGGGTGCATGCCTCAACCGTGCCTAAGAAAACGAGTGACTGTGCGCATAGAATTTGCCACTTCAAAGTATCATTGAATGCCTATAGCAAGCACAGCAAAGTGCCCACTACTCCATAATTATTCCTTTTGCGAATCAGCGAAGGGTTTGCTGCACGTTTATAGGGCAACACACGAACCTACGTTGCTGTTCACTCTATTGTCGTTTCTGCTGCTGATAGTGATTAAATGTCTGAGCACTTTGGAATAGGTATCGACGTAGTGGAGGGCTTCGCAAACTTCGACCACCTGGGAGTTCTTCAATGTGCCCTCAAATCTGAGCATACAGGCCTAAAGCATTTTCACCTCTTTCGAAAATACAGCCGCCTTATCTGGGATTCGATCCCGCGACCACCTCAAGATAATGCCGCTTTTCAGAGTGCAAGAGCAAACTTCTGAGTATACGCTGTGAGACTTTGGCTGTCACAATCCTTGTCAGTAGATCATCTTCATACAGACCATTGCAATTGCTGTTATCATCCAACGTATCGCTCTCCATTGACGAAAAACTTATGATGAATACAACTTCTAGACATTTTGTTTGAAGTATAGTCAGGCCAATTCGTAGCCATGATCGACATGTTTCGTTGCTACATCTGGCAGCCTATATAGATACTGCTGTGTTTTGTTTTCAGTGGCCTAATCTTTTCTCAATAACAGCCATGCTTCAATCAATCAGACCAGATTACTCTGCAGCTCTGCTTTGATGTTGTGTGAACTGTTTTGCAGGAACATGCTGACGCAACTGAAGAAGGAGCAGCTGAGGCAGCACCTAGCAGTAGCAACTCTGAAGCTTCGAGCGACACCATGGATTCTGGGTGAGCTCACTGGAGTGATGGTAAACACAATTGAAAGGAGAGTTCTTGTTGTGCTTTCCATTGAGGTGAATAGATGGTCATTCCACAGCTTTCTCCTCTATTTGAAGCAGTGTAAAAATGTGCAATTTTATTGGGATAACATTTATATGGTCACTTTAAGCATATTTTTGTCATTGCCATCATGCTTAGTATAAAGTTAAAAACTTTAACGTCGCCCCGCACTTCATATGTTTTATGTGCGTTTGAAAACTTGCGAGAGCTGTCGTCGTGTGAAGGAGGGGGGGGGGGGAGGCATCGTTCGCGTAGCACGAACGGGTGCGGTCGGGCAGGTTTTTGTTTACCTTGTGTCATGCAAGTCAGCAGACAGATCGTACTTGTCTATGTGCTGTCTATGGACTATCTTCTGGCCATGTTTCGTAGTCTTTACTAACGTACTTGGAATTGTCAAAACATTTTTATGTAATTTTCAAAAGACAAGGCCGGGTCACGTAAACAGACTGATTACAGTCTGTGCTGCTGTCGTGGAAACAATCTCTACGTTTCATCAAAATTATTCTACGATTGAAATCTCAACTTGCTGAGAAGCAAAATAAAAAAAGGGGGAGGTGGTGGGGAGTGCATATCTAACGGCATGTCCCGAAACAGATTAGTCCCATCGAAAGCATTTCATTGCTTCCCGAGTGACCCGGCTCTCCGCATCACAACAGAGCATCTGTAGATGCGTGCGCACACCATTTCTTGAAACACAAACCGTTTCTTCACATGTCCATGAGCCATCGTAAGGCCTTTTCCATCTTAGGACTTGTGTTCGTCTGCTACGCCTGCGCCTCTGCTAAGGCAGTTAAAGCGGCGAGATTCGAACAGTGACCACAGAAGCCGGTACCGCCATAGATGCTGGGTCTGGCTACTTGCACCAATTTGACTAGTTCTTTAAATATGTTGTAGCAGGAAAAATGTCTTGGCTACTATATTGCTCCCTATGTTTCACCCAATTATAGATAACGTGTGAAGCCACAGCCATGGCATAAAACATGGCAAGGAAGCAATTTTCCACCTTCCTTGCAATGTGAAAACATTGCAAGGAAAGTGGAATTGAATGCTAACATTATTAAAAAGCAAGTTTTGGATTCAAGACTGGGAGTCGGGGGAAAGCTGTTGCACGGGGCAAAGCATGCACCTACAGTAGATTCCTATTAAATTAAACTCTCTTAAATTAAATTGCTGCTTAAATGAAATAACTGCCACTAACATGTTTGGTTTCATAGATGAATATTATACCCCTGTTTATCTCTCAGTAAAAGAAACTCCTCTTAAAGGAAACACATTTTCCTGGTCCCTTCAGGTTTTGTTTAAAAGGAGTCTACTGTATTGCTGAGTGCGACATTACACTATAATTCCAAATCAACTGGCGTACCAAAGCGCTCCACTTCCAGGATGCTTTACACTTATCGATATTAGACATTGCATATGCAAAGAGTTGTTCAAGATACAGAGTAAGACACGGACTGCAACATGGAAATAATAAACTGCTTGGACATCGTCATCACTCGAGGAGCGATTTCATAAGTTACTTTAATTTAAGCTTTCGTTCAAAAAGCTGTGAAACCAAACGGATTATCTTTGAATCTGCTGCATATTAAAGTGTGGCAGCTCGGGCTAGTTGGTATGGCATGACGATAGTTATAGCGCGAGAACAGTTTGGCGACACAGAGACAAGAAGGACAGGAAGGACACAAGCGCTAACTTCCAACTGAGTTATTGCGCAGAGCGCGAAAATATATAGAAGAGACAGTAAACCATGTGACAAAGACCATATGGCACAAAGAGCAAAACATGAGTAAGGGAAAAAACAAAAGCACAGAAAAGGCAAAAGAAAGTCTATAAGAAAATGAAACAGGAAAAGTAAAGGTAATATAACTACTTGCGCGTGCCAAAACCTTCGAGGAACCTTAGTTCCTTCTCGGACAGAGACATGGAGGGCTTGCTAATGCAAGACACCTGTTCGCGTGCTATCTGCGTGGCGTCGACGATGACTCAGGTGCGCTCATCTTTGTGCTTGTACAGCATCGCTGTGTAATTGAAAAGGGGCACACAGTTGCTCTCAGTGCATTGCTGAGCAAGAAAACCATCTTTCCCGTTTCTAACATTGTTAGTGTGTTCTCTCAGTCGATCGTTCAGACACCTTCCGGTCACTTTGACATAACAAGCACCGCATGAAAGGGGGGTCCTATAAACAACTTCCCGGGAGCATCAGTGCTCGAGATTTCCTTGACCTGGTTTTGCTGTACCTTACCTCTACTTTCGTTCAATGGAGTGATTGCATTTATCTGCAAAAAAAATGTGTTTCAATCGACTCATGCATAGCACCTCTACTCAGTGATCTACTATTGGCAAAAATGGGCAATAAACTGCAAAAACGTTAGAGGGCTCGCATGTCGTCAAAGTATTCAGATTCGTGGATGATTTCTTGGTTCTTCTAAATTGTAACTCTTCTATGTTCCACTCGATTGCGGCTCAAACGATAGGTGTGTTTGAAGATTGTTTAAAGCCTCTCGTGTTGACACATGAAATGCCCGAGAATGATAAGTTATGCTTTTTCGATTTAAGACTGTTTTTTTAGCTCACAGCACATCTGTTGGTGTTATGAACCACGTGCACAGAAACATTTACTTTCTTTTTCTTCTGCTCACAGCAAGGTAGTTAAGCGAGGCATAGCACGAACCTGTCTTGAGAATGCCTTAAATAGGTCGTGCGTCCACAACATTTCTGCGAGCTTCAAAGCTCAGGTTTCCCGGCTTAAGGCTTCGGGTTTCTCTGAGGCGTTTATCACTTCTGTTGCTGAGACTATCCTGCGGACTAATAAGGCAGAGCAGTGGCAGCAACAGGATCCGAGCAACACCAATACAGAGCGTGAAAGGATGGCCGTGATTCCATACAAACACCAGATATCCCACAGGCTCATGAAAATCGGAAAACGAGTTGGAGTTCGTGTCCTGTTCTCTGCACCGTTCAAGTTAATCAGCCTGACCAAATCTACAAACCCTCTGAAAATGCAGTCATCAACGGAATGTTGAGTTTGGCATAGAAGCAGGTATGCGGCATGCTCCCGGAAAGTTGTCTATAGGACCCCCTTTTCATGCGGTGCTTGTTATGTCGGAATGACCGGAAGGTGTCTGAACGATCGACTGAGAGAACACACTAACAATGTTAGAAACAGGAAAGATGGTTTTCTTGCTCAACACTGCACTGAACGCAACTGTGTGCCCCTTTTCAAGGACACAGTGACACTGTACAAGCACAAGAATGAGCGCACCCAAGTCGTTGTCGAGGCCGGGCAGATGGCACGCGAACAGGTGTCTTGCATTAGCAAGCCTTCCGTGTCTCTGTCTGAGAAGGAACTAATGTTCCTTGAAGGTTTTGGTGCGCTATATAGTTATATTGCCTTTGCTTTTCTGTTTCATTTTCTTATAGACTTTTCTTTGCCTTTTTCTCTGCTTTTGTTTTTTCCCTTACTCATGTTTTGCTCTTTGCGCCATATGGTTTTTGTCACATTGTTCACTGTCTCCTGTATATATTTTCGCGCTCTGCGCAATAAACTCAGTTGGAAGGTAGCGCTCGTGTCCTTCTTGTCTCTGTGTTGTCGCTCTGTTCTCGCGCTGTAACTATCGTCATGCATATTAAAGTGCTGTAGTTATAGATGTGATCGGAGAGAGGGTCTACGAATTTCTGAAGGGTCGCACGTAACCTATACACGTTTTCACAGGAGCACTCTCGAATCTGTGATTTGCAGGGATCAAGGGTATGTTCTCAGTGTTGCCATCGCGCCTTGGGCTGCACTTGTCGTACTTGTACCATTGGCACGTTTTGATGTAGTACATGTAACAGGCGCTTCTCTCCGATAAAAAGTGACTGTCGTGGCAGGAAAGTGTGCATACTCGAAGATCAGACCATCTGGCCATCACTGTGTCGTGCAATTGGTGCAAAAGGAACAATGTGGCTGACTTGGTGTCTGCAGCACAGTACATTGTGCGATGAGTGCCGGTGTGATCTGTTCGCGCTGAATCGCTTTCAGGCGGCACCTGAATTACGGAAGCAGTGGGTGTCGTGAGCAAATTGAGATATCCTCCGTGTGTCGCTATCATCATGCCTTTGTACACGCCACTTTGTTGATGGCAAGAAAACCGACAAGAACAACATTCCTGTGTTGCATCTTGAATACCGAAAGAAAAGGTACACTTGTATAGAGCCACACTTGTATAGAGTGCCCAGCTAGCTGCTTTGGCTGCCGTTTTCTGCAAAAAATATGTAAATACCGATGGTGTAATGATACATAACATGGTTTATCGCATGAACCTTTTCGCTATAATTCAGGCGTGAGCATAAGCTTTGGTAGCTAATGGGAAGTAGCAGCTGCAGACAACAGCGACCACAGCCACGCACTCTGCTGCTCTAGGTATAGTGCGATTTCGTCTGTGCGCAAATCGCTGAAGAAGCTGCACCTAATGCTACTACTACCGATGACGAAGCACTGTCGTTTGCAAAAGCAGAGCTCATTCTTGTGTAGCTAGCGCAAATGCATGCTGCTGAACTGTTTAGACAGCGGCGTATCAGTCAGTGGGTACGACAATATCTAAACAGTCTAAGCAAGGGAAAAGTTGGCAAACACGGTCTTTAGCAGGGATCTCACACCAATGTATAACGCGCCGGTTTGAGTAAGCGCAATACTAGATAGTGATTTTGCCAAACGTCGCCATTAGATGGCACCCATTTCAATATGGCGACTCACTGTCGTGAAAACTTCAAAACGTGCATAGATGTTTTCAAAAATGGCTTCGTGGGTGCAGCCATAGTTCTTTCGGGCTGCGCAAGTTGGCGTGACCCCCCACATCCCCGAAAAATGCACTGAAGAAACTGCGACTTCAGGTTTTGCATTCACCCCACCGCGGTGGTCTAGTGGCAAAGCTATTCTGCTGCTGACACCCAGGTTGCGGGATCGAATCTCGGCTGTGGTGGCTGCATTTTCGATGGAGGCGAAAATGCTGTAGGCCCGTGTGCTCAGATTTGTATGCACGTTAAAGAACCCCAGGTGGTCAAAATTTCCGGTGTCCTCCTCTATGGCGTCTCTCATAATCATATGGTGGTTTTGGGACGTTAAACCACACAAATCAATGAATGAATCAATCAAATCAGCCTTTGTGTTCGGGCGCGCAGCACAACTTGACGGCTTTTTTTTCCTTTGTGTGAAAAGGTGTATACGACCGAGTCGCAATGAAAGTACCCTGACTCTGTGAGTATGTAATCAGGGCTTGGTCCCAGCTTACGGAGATCTGGCACAGGCCTGACGTGAGCACGGCACTCTTCGTCCTGTTCCCAAATATTAAAGAAAAATAATTTTGAAAAGTCCGTGTTTCGATGTTGTTCCTGCCATCCAGCAGGCAGTTACTAAGTTTCTGGAACAGGTCGCGGCAGCCAACTTTCAGGGAATTTTCGCAGCTAGCTGGCAGTTGTGTTAGAAGCAGTGTAGAGACGCACAAAGAGAAAGTACTGAATAGTTTTATTAGCGTCTACCGATCGGACCAATATGTTGTTTTTACCAGAGCTAGTCGCATTGTTTTACAGCCAGACTCACTATGTGCCTGTGCGTTAGCACTGTTTCGTTCTTTTTCATCGTATGTTTGTGGCTGTTCACGCACGGTGCTCTCCAATGATCACCCTAATGAAGTATGGTGTGGCCAGATTATCAACATTATTTCTTGGTAACAGTGCGATGTCAATAGTGAATTCGCGGATGAGCCGGATGTATTTGTCCAAGGCAACGAAGGTTGAATTAAGGAAGTTGCGCTTGTTACCACACACTGCATGTGTTTGTTATGCTACTAGATTGTGAGTGCATGTCTTTCAGTCTTTATAATTTGGCAAGTCGCTTTGAAAACAATGGTTTCTATTTGGAAGCTTATCTGGCACTCTTTGGCCACATCTCACCTGTGTACCGAAAAAAATTTGGCTGCTATTGAGTAAAATTACTTGACTGGTTTGTGAGTAAATTGTGTCCGTTGTCTCGTAGGAACACACCTATATGAATGAAGAAAAGGACCTGCTGGAGCAACTCTTCGCCAGAGCCCCTCTGTCATTCCATGTACAGGCAGCACTGAAACTTCGTGACATTGAATTACCATTACCAGCCGAAACCTATCGACCGGTGCTTTATGGATTTCTGTTTTTTTTTTCACGTTTTGATTTATTACTTGTTTTGTGAACATTACACAATAGTGACCCAAGTATCCCTCTGTAATACCCACTAAGCTCTTAGGGCACATGAAATGAATTGTCGGCTCCTGTCGTGCTTGGCACGCCTACGGTGCAGGCACCCAAAGAAACCAAGTTCGTTGCCGTGCTCGCCGACCTGATTGAGTACACCGTCTGCAGTGTCCCGCCATTGTGCAAGAAGGTTCTCCTCGACAACCCCAATAATGTTACCGTATTTTCCGGTGTATAAAGTGCACCTTTGTATAAGACGCACCCCCCAGTTTTCGCAAGTTTTCATGCAAAAATTAATATATAAGACGCACCGGTGTATAAGACGCACTTACATTCACTCACTTTCCGCAAAGAAACTTCATAACGTGCAGTTGAGCGAGCATTGTAAAATGCCGTACTTACGTTTCTGAGCGCCAGTCCGTAAGAAAACTTATACTACACCGAACTTGTGAGAAAAAATAATGCGCACCCACTGAAACGTTCCGCACGACTGCAGGAAAACATTTTATTCCTCAAAGCCCTCAAAGTCCTCGTCCTCCGACGTGCTTTGGAATAGTTCAGCGAGCTCTGGCGGCAGTGACGCTGGGACTTCCTCTGTTTCCTCTTCGGAATCGCTGCTGCTGCTGCTGTTGTCGTCGTCGAGGCCAGGGGCTGAGGATGCTAGCAGGCCTGCCTTGCGGAACCCCGCAGTTACGGTGGCCTGTGACACCGCACACCAGGCTTCGCGCACCCACTTTGCGACCTCGCGAAACGAAGCACGCCTCATGCGTCCAGTTGCGGTATAGCTATGCTCGCCGTCGGACATCCATGACTCCCACAGGCGCCGCAGAATAGCCTTGAAACTGCGGTTCACCGAGATGTCCAACGGCTGAAGCATTTTTGTCATCCCGCCTGGGATAACCGCAGCGGTGCAGTTTTCTGCCTTGATGCGCTTCAAAGTGAGCTCCGTTATATGCGCCCGCATGCTATCCAATACCAGGAGGCCCTTCTTCGCATGAAAAAAACCGTCCGATCGCTTAGAAAAGCATTTTTCAAGCCACTTGCCCATCATCTCTTCGTCCATCCAGCCTTTCACGTTCGTTTCTATGACGACACCAGGCGGGAACGACTCTTTCGGCATCGTCTTCCGCTTGAATATAATCATTGGCGGAAGTTTTTGCCCGTCGGAGCAACATGCCAGCACAACCGTGAAGTGCGCTTTTTCGTGGCCGGTAGTTTTGATGGTGACAGACTTGTCACCTTTCGGTGCCACACTCCTTTCTATTGGGATGTCAAACGTAAGTGGCACCTCGTCCATGTTTATTATATGGCTGTTGCCGATGCCATCATCTTCAATGGCTTTCTTAACGAAAGCCTGGAATCTTTCAAGCTTGTCCTTGAAATCTGCTGGCAGATTCTGGCACATGCTTGTGCGGGCCCTCATCGCCAGCGCTTTGCGGCGCATAAATCTGGAGCACCAGGACGGCCCGCCAACAAAATCAACGGCGCCCACCTCCTTAGCTAGCGCCTGCGCTTTGAGACGCAGCTGCACCGTTGACATCGCCCTACCTTGGGCACGCTGCTCCAGTATCCATGAGTGCAGACGTCCCTCAAGGTCTGGCCATCGTGCTTTCTTGCCGCGGTCAGCTTTCTCGTCACTCTTCATGGCCTGAAGCTTAGCAGTCGACTGTCGCCATGTGCGGACCATCTTCTCCGTGACGTCGAAATGACGGCCCGCTGCCCGGTTTCCGTAGTCCTCTGCATACTTCACAGCAGCAAGCTTAAACTTCGCCGTGTAACTTTTCCGTTTAGCCGGCATACTGCAGGTGAAGGTAACAAAGGCGCGAACCAACCGAACGAATGAAGTTGCAAATGGCGACTAGTCCAACTCGCTGAACGACAGCGTAGCGGTGGTAGCGGCAGTAGCGGCCGAATCCGAACCAAACCGCCGAACCCGTCGCGCACCTATCGCCATCTTACGCCGATTTCACTCACTGAGTACAGCTCTCTATGGTACAGCCTCCGAAACTCGCGCAGCTTCAGTGAGCTGAGAACTCGCACGACGACATACTTTTTAAAATTTTTCCGTTTTATGTACTTTGGTTTTGTTTTAAAACTGTAGTACCGGCACGTTGAGTGTTCGTTATTATAATTATGATGCATAATTCGCATTGGACTGCTCTAGTGGTTTAAAAAAAAAAAGACTAATGAGCATCAACACGAGTTTCTCCCAAAAAACTACCAAAAAAAGTGCGTATAAGACGCACCGTTGTATAAGACGCACCTCCGAAAAATTTTGAAAAAAACTGCGTCTTATACACCAGAAAATACGGTATGTCATTGCTAATTCAGCAGTATGTCGACATGCTATCTTTAGCGAAAACATGCACGATGAATCCTGCACTCAAGATATCTCACTGTCCTAGTGGTCACCACAATTTGAACTCATCCACATTTCAAATATATGTGGGAAAGACACACCGAGGAAATGTGTCGATACGGTTCAACCCTCAGGCGTCGTTCCGGTATTTTTATCTTCATGTGGCCCGTTTTCTCTGCTATCCAGACATCGCCTGCTCCAAGATCGATGGTTGCCAGCTGACATGACATCGCTGCGTGTTCAAGGTGGACAGTTGTGACATAGCCAGTGTCGCCCCTCAGAATCTTTCGAAGCGAGGCAAGGAAAGTCATAGCGCAACGGAAACCTGCAAATACCATTCTTACAGAGCCAGTGCCGCCCCCTAGAAAATGTGGCAACTCGGCTAGACAAGTCGCGGCATATACAAGTCCCACCATCATGACACAGTCAATGAGGGACGGCACCATTGGGCACGGCGGCACTCACGGAATGCAACCACCTAACAATCCGCTCGTCTTCATCCTACAGGTGAGAAGGCGATATGGAAAGTGTATCCGTTCAAACGACCCTTTCTTACTTGTGCTGCCGTGCCCATGGCTATGTACTGTTGTGATTGATGCTGTACCGACTCTTAAACTTTTACTGCTAGGCGGAGACATTGAGACGAACCCAGGCCCTGACATCAGCCAGAAATTAAAAGAAATCGCCGCAGATATCAAAGAGATAAAGGAAAGCCGCCTACCTAAAATCGATAAGAAACTAGACTCGCTCGCGAGGCTAGAAGAAAAAGTGGATTCATGTCAAGAACAAATAGCAAATATGAAAATGGTAGTACAATCTAAGCAAGAAAAAATTGACGATCTAGAGAATCGCAGCAGGCGAGCTAACCTGATAATATATGGCTTTCCCGAGGTAGAAGGCGAGACTGCCTTGACACTTGAACGTGCAGTGAACAAAAGCATAATTGAAGACACCCTAGAATTAAAACCTGCAGCAATTGAATGCATACATCGCATCGGTAGAGCCCAACCAAACAAAACTAGGCCCGTAATTCTCAAGCTGCAAGACTCAAGAGAGAAATTTTCAATATTAAAACGGGGACATAAACTTCGTTCCACAAGCCTATCTATCGGAGAAGACTTCTCGAAACGAGTACGTGAAATTCGGAGAAAACTTTGGAACAGTGCGAAGGCAAATCGAGAAAATAACGAAAAGGTTTCCTTAGTTTTTGACAAGCTGTATATTAATAATCATGCCTATGTCTGGAGCAACGAAAAGGATGATAAGGTTCCGCTTAAGAAAAAACACGCGGAAGCTGCCTCAGAAACAGCCCGTGTAACCAGAACGACGAACGTACCCGGCGACCAAACAAAAAAGGGAGCCACTACTCGTCGTGCTGCAAAATAGGCGAACTAACACTTCTCACAGTGAATGCTAGAAGCGTAATTAATAAGCCTGAACCTCTTGAAAATTTGATCATCGATTATGAGCCTCACTTAGCAGCCGTCACCGAAACGTGGCTCACGCCTGATGTTTTAGATCATGAATTTACCCCACCAAACTATTCCGTGATCCGAAACGATCGCCCCACACGTGGTGGTAGGGTGGCACTATTGATAAGAAAAGGCCTCTCTTTCGTGGCCCTTCCAGAGGTACAAAATGCTGAAGCGTTTTTTTGTAAACTACTTTGTGACGGTACCAGCATATTGTTAGGTTGTCTTTATCGAAGCCCAAACTCGGGTGACGATTCTATCAGTGCAATTCATGATTACAAGCAACGTCATGCTTACGGTTCACGTGTTGTACTCATGGGTGATTTTAATCTTCCAGACATTAACTGGGATAGTATGTGCTATACGTCATCAGCTTCGGATGTGTTATTTGACCTCATGCTAACCTTCAGTCTTCATCAGGTCGTTTCGCAGCCCACTCGCTCGCAGGGAGTAACTGAGAACATACTTGATCTAATATTTTTCAGCGACCATTTCGACATACTAAACTGCATAAGAATTGATGTAACCCGAAGTGGTTTCTCGACGGTAACTCAACTTACTGAACTAGTTCATGACCTTGCCATTACAGTTAATAACCGTGGTCAAACTGACTTAATTCTACTTGACCTATCTAAGGCTTTTGACTGTGTATGCCACAGCAAACTAATAGCTAAAGTAGAAAATGTTTTCGGAATAGGAGAACTTTCCGCTTGGATAAAAGCTTTCTTATTTAGCAGGTCACAATTTGTACTCTATGAACAGATGTCTTCTAACACAGTAGCAGTAACATCCGGCGTTCCCCAAGGCTCGGTACTTGGGCGATTGCTTTTCTTGCTCTATATTAATGATATCACTGCTAACATCACTAACAACATCAAGCTATTTGCGGACGACTGTGTGATCTATAGAGAAATTAATCATTACAACGATCACATTATGCTTAATGATTCTCTAGCTGTCGTGGCTAATTGGTGCTCTAAATGGCAGATGAAAATAAAGACACAAAAATCAGGGATAATGACCGTAAGCAGAAAAACAAAACCATCCAACTTCCCATACACCATTAATAACACACTTCTTAATAAAGTTGAGGAACATAAATATCTAGGAGTTACACTGACTTCTGATCTCAAATGGGACAAACACATCGCTAATATAACTTCGAAGACGCTACGCAAACTATTCTTCTTAAAACGAACTCTAGCGCTCTCAACAATGCCAACGAAGCTGCTAGCTTACGCATCATTCGTAAGACCAGTTTTAGAATATGCAAACAATGTCTGGTTTCCGTATTCGCTGACTAATATAACCAAACTAGAAGCAATACAAAGGAAAGCTGTAAGATTTATTTACAACAAATATAGACGCACAGATTCCCCAACACATATTTTAACTCAGTCAGGTTTACAAACACTGTCCACAAGAGCGAAACAGGCTCGCTTAAAGTTCCTTTTCCAGCTAGTAAAAAATAACTACAAGATAGATTCATCCAAATACCTTTCATTTTCACAGGCTCGGCAAACTCGCAATAAACATGCGCGCACGTTGTCAGAATACTCATGTAGGAACGACACGTTTAAGTACTCGTTCTTCCCGCGCGCGATAGCGGAATGGAACCAACTTGATGCCACTATCACAAACTCCCAATCGCTATCAGAATTTATTGCACAGATAGAAAAAACTGGGCGCGCATAACAGTTTATACGCATGCAGGCGCACCGGTCCAGATCTGCTGTTCGTTAGTTAAAGCAACACCTTTTTCAGTGTTCCTTTTACAGTAGTATAGCTATTTTTAAAGTATGCTTTCAGTGCTTGCTATTCCTGTCACAACTGTTCCATTTACGTTTTCCCTCACGATATCAATGCTAACATAAGTTCCTTTCTTCAATCATGTATTTTATTTCTATCGCCTTTCGGCATGGTTTCAGCTCTGTATAATGGCTATAACTTGCTTTGTATCTTGTGATTATTGCATACATTGTGTATTAATAACATAATTAACGTTTAACTTCTGTACTGCTCAATGGTTATATGATCCTCATGTCCTGTTATTATGCTTGCATGTTTTTACGTCTACATCCTTTTTTTGTATGTGTGAAAAATTACTGTATTGCCCAACTGCCACGCTCTCGAAGGAGAGTAGCTGTATTGTAAATAAATAAATAAATAAATAAATAAATGCCGCCCACCGGAAATATCCCTGCAAAAATATCCACGCAAGTTGCATCGTTGGGAAAACTATCCGCATCTCCACACCCAAGGTCGACCACTTGAAGCATCACTGGCACATCATCAAACCAAGTCGCTGTATGGCTGTGACAGACCAACACGAAACAGCCAATGCTGGCCTCTAGCACTGATTGCGCAGCTGGTTTAGAAATGTCGCAGCGTAGCCGAGTGTGAGGAAGCAAGGACGGCATTGTTGCACTGGCGCCAGCTCGGCTAGTGATAGGAAGAGGAGATTGAAGTTAGAATAAGAACAGCTGGCCATGCATACAGGTGTTCTCTCTTTTCTCTCCTTTACAAAATAATTGAATTTCATTCTTCTGGTGTTATTTAGCGTCGCTCAGTACATGGACTTCTAGGATTTCGGCGCCTCCACCGAAATGCGATGGTCACGGCCACAATTGATCCCACGACGTTTGGGTCAGCACTTGAGCACCACTGGTTCACTGTGGTGGATGAAGCAGGGGTGCAACAGCGACACAAATTTGATATCATTCTTCACTTTTGCGCCTAGCGGTGCCAAAAACAATTAAATTTGCTGAAATTGCACCACCCTGCATGAAAATGCTCGGCCAGCCTCAGTTTTCTCAGTTGTGCTAATTTAATCGAGAAACAGCGACCACGTTGGCTATTTTCAGTTTGCGTCATCAACCAATTCAAACGCACAGACCCTAACTTGAAACCACGGTGAAAAAATTGCCATTAGTTCAGGGGCCGTTGCGACACGCGATCGACCAGATAAAGTAACAAAGCCGCACGCTATCGGTGCACTGACCGAGCGCATACCTATTGGTGGGACAACGCAACTCGAAGACAAAATGCCCCCATCTCCCAGAAGGGAATCGTGAGGAAATGCGAATGAATTTCTTGCGCCCAGAGAGGGTACCATAGCCGTCGGACATTCACCTTCACCGACTTCTGCTATCACCTTGAGAGGTGCCCAGCCAGTGAACAGTCGAGAGTGAGTGAATGGGAGAGCGGGGAGCCAGCATTCTTAGCTTGGCATTGAAATTTCACAGTGGGGTCTCGAGCCCACATTTCCGGATGTTCTTGAGAGACGCCCAGCCAGCAAATGGGAGAGAGGGTCACAGGAAGGAGAGAGAGCGAATGGCGAGAGGAGCGGTGAAGCACTGCGACTACCCTTTTCTGCACTCTCTCGGACCACATGCTCCGGGTGCTAGGGGTGAGCACAAGCGTGCGAGCCCGCAGCTTTGCTATGAGAGAGGGAGAGCACAAAGATAACATCTGCCGGCGCGCTCACACCGCCGAATGCCTGACATAGCCCGACTGAGAAATGCATTCGCATTTAAAAAAGTGTTGCCATAGCCACCAATACTTCGCGGGAAATATGAACTTTCAAGTCAGCAAGCATGACTATGGCATGTTAAAAAAGCTGGAAGCGTATGTCGCGTTTCTCGCCCACAGACAGACTCGGTGTGCCACGAAAATTGGTGTAGCAGGTGACTACGTTGGTTGCCATAGCAATGGCACATAAAACGTTCTTTTATTTTTATGTTGCAGTTGCATTGACCTGAAATATCCTGTGCCGTCGTTGGGCCAACAAGCACGCGCCATTTTACTTCATCTGGTCGAACGCGCTTTGCAAGTGAGCCAAGAAGTTAGTATGCCCTAAACCAAATCCCATCGCAAAAAAGGGGGGAAAAAGAGAAAGGGTGGGGCGTAACAGTGTTTCTAACTTGTTCCAACTGGTGCAGAACGCTGCTTCATCTGCCTTTGACGCAGTACACCAGTGCCCTATCAAGGAGCGTGTCGTGATTCGGGAGGGGTGTTAGCACTAATCACGCGACACAGCACATTTTCTTCCATTACTCATGCTTGTATGCGGCGCATATTTGTAAATACTACTAGGATCGATGACAGCTTAAGAATTCACTGGCAATCATTTGAAGCAGCGTATGACATTTCTGGTGCCCTAAAACTTAAACTGCATGCCAGTTTTTTTTTCGCCACCCCTATAAATTTTCTGAGTTGTAAGGTCGCCTGCTTGGCAGATTCGCATTGCAATTTGCAGAGTCAAATGCAGCAAATACTAATGTGGAATTTATCATTATTTTCTCAGTAGGGTGGTTCAAAATAATAGTTCTATTAAATAGCAGTGCTCTTACTTACACACATTATTTAGGGCATGCTGAATGGTTTGTACATTTTTTTTCTAAATGTAAGACTTGTTTTTCATACTGCTCCAAATTTGTTCTTTCATAATAAAAAATGGATGTTTTGTTCCCCGTAACTTGCTCCAAATTTAGATTTTCGTGCTCCAAAAGTAACATTTTGCTGCTCCAAGAATTTCTCCGAATTCTATTTTGGCTGTTGCACCCCTGACGAGGGAACGATGTCTGGCCAACTTAGAGAATCGATTGCAAGTTTGAAGGTGGCCATTGGCTCCGCTGTAATGGTGGGCTCGCAATTTCCCGAGCACCCCGACCAGGAATCGGCAGCGTTTTCTGACCACTTTAAAATAGTGTTGCGGCCCCCTTTAAAACTGCGGATGAGCCGGTTCTGTGTGCTTTTCTTACGAAAGCTTTATGCCAAGGCCCACCAATACCTTAGTGACGTATTTTTCTCACGGAAATGATGACGAAAAGATACGCATGATCAGAAAGTAAAGAAAATAGCTTTGTGACTGAGAATCGAAACCATGATTTTTCGGTCAGCGAAAACAGATATCAGGTGTGCTACTTACTGCACCACAACCACTTGGTGTGAATGCTTTACAAACGTGCCTAACCCTGTTTTCTGACAGTGCTCTTGGTAAAGTAATGCATCATGACTCCGACATCCACGATGAGCTCTTTCAAGCATAGTTTCCACATGTAAGTCCCATTCGGCATGTTTCCAATAGAAGTGCAGCTATGTCGACTCCCTTTAGCACTCTATCTGGTAGCCACTTCAGCCCAAGCGTTGGCTTCACTCATAACATTCATCCATACCAAAAATACCTTGCAACAGCACCCATCGGCCCTCGCACACGTAGCACATATACTCGCAGTGGCACTGCACGGGATGTCAGATACGGCGTAGCAAGTTTTCTCAGGACAAACGTGCTCAAAAAATTTTTAAGTTGACAAACATTAGCTCATAAACGTACCAGCAGGTAAACATGTTTTACTATTCACCCTTGTATACAGCATGATCAAGACTGGCCAGAATGTGTTATGCAATTAGAAGGAGTGACCCTCGTAAGGTGTTGAAGATTGAGCGAGCATGTTTTAGTTAAAAATTTTAACACTTTCCAAAGCTCTTATAAGTGGCTATTCACATGGCGCCGTCACTCTTGTTACATGTCACGTGAACTGCAAAAGCAGTTGGAAAATATTCAAGAATCTTCGGTAGTCAGGTTCCTTTCATATAAAAATTAATTAATGTCTCAGACACCATAACAAGAAATTAAGTGATTCAGTCAAACATTCATTGTCCCTCCCCACGTACACAGCGAATTGCAGAAGCGCTGATATGTGCTTAAAGTACTGCCAAAGATTATGTTGCAACGAACAGAACTATCCTACTCCTCTTCAGAATGGTCGTTTCAGTAGCATTTTCGGTTTTAACTATTTCTCGCACCTCGCAGAACAAATAAGGTACGAAAATAAGATCTGGTCGTGCCATTTAATAATCATGTACCATTACCAACTCGATAAACTATTAGTGGCAATTAAATATTTTAGACACAGAAATCCTACACCATTTAATGCCTGTGACTTTTTGCAGTAGTTGTTGGTCTGAAAATGTATTGACTGAAGCCACTGCAACCGCCATTTAGTGCATTTCACTTTCTCGAACCAGCACTTGCATGCGCCCATCTTCTGTAAGCATGTATCCCGAGGCGCAGGGTACTCTGCATGCTGTGTGGAATCAAAGTGATTTGACATTCATTGTGAAGCTTCAAGATGCTCTGTTCCCTGCTCTTCATCGAAAGGGTTCATCATCGTGCAGTGTCGGCACTGACTCCACCTTCTTCATGTTTGTATATTGCCGAGAAGCACGAAAAACAAGACAAGGCACGGAGCAAAAATTCTTGAGGTGGGAAACTGCACTCGCTCAGGCATCCTGAAAAAGTCACGGAATCGATGGATAAATGGATGGATATGGCTGTACCCTTTAGATCGGGCAGTGGCTGGCGCCACCAAGCCGTAATACCTAATGAACCAAAAACTATATTTATTTTTTTTCCTTAAAAAGTGAGTTTTAGGATTCGTACTTTGCAGTGAAGAGTTTAATTTTCACTCGTGACTTGACTTTAGCCACCAATCAAATAACCTCCTTCTAGTTAAGTCTACCCGCTTAAAGTTTATTTTGCCCTCCCGGTCCCTAAACCCCAGTGCTTTGAAAAACTCTGCGCCATCATCCTGAACTATAGGGTGAAGCCCTTTACAGAACATTATCAAGTGTTCGGCAGTTTCTTCTTCCTCTCCACACGCACTGCATACTGTGTCTACCCCTTCTACCCCATCGGGCACAGCACCGCCGCGCCCTCTGTCGTCAAACTCTTGATAGCGGTGAAGGAAAAACGCAGCGCGCCGCTCTCACCGCGCTCTCGTTCAAGGCCACTCCGCGAGCATAGGTGTTCTGTGACTCCGCGTGTCACGTGCAACTGGGTGTGTTTCTGTGCGTCCTCGCTGGCTCCAAATTTCAACGCGACAGCATTAAAGAGCTCATTTCGCAGATATGCCTACATCGGCGTAGTTGGTTGCGAGTGAAAAATCTACGGTGTTCGTCAATGCAAAATCAAGATGCAAATAAAACGAGCACACATGTTTACCTTGAGCCTCTAATGTATTTGTCCTTGCATGCTTTCCGCACTTCACGTCAGGCTATTTCATTTTTCTTTTTGTTTCTATGTGTATGTACATGTGTGTGTGTGAACAGCTGATAAGTAGTTGAGACAGCATGGAAACACTGAAGGCACGGCGTCTGGTAACAACGCTGGCGGTTTCGCTTTCTCCAGGAGAGCTTCG